CCTAAATGTATGCAACACTATTCGATTTTTGTATGAATGTAATACAAAATTTTGTAATACAGAAGTGCAAATTATAATAATTTAAAATTGAAGCATTACGATTTTATTTTAAAAACAGTATTTGAAATTCTTCAACAAGGTTCGCAAATTTACACCAGTCAAGTATTCCAAAATATTTCAAAATTTATTATATTTTATTATAATACCTACATACATAATTAAATTAAATGATAAATGAAAAGTGAATATAAATTAAAATAGGAAATTTGAGTATTTTCGCAAAATTAGGTGCGGGAACGAATATACATTCTAAAGTAGAAATTAAAGAACAGACCGTTTTTTTTTTTGAAAATATTCTATATTTTTTAGCATCCATTATAATTAATGTATTCAAAAGTCAACGTATTGGAATAGAAGTTACAATGACAAAAGGTTTTAATTCAAAATTATGAAATAATTAAACTTGGTTAAAATTGTGCTTGCCGTAGTTCTCATACAAATTCCCTATTATACATACTAAACTAAAAAATTATGTTTGTATGCAATGTATGAAATATGCATGTTTCGCATGCTTTTTACTGCCAAAACTATGAGAGATAAAGGAAAATCTTATATAGATTAACTTTTAGATCTCATTGTTGCGCATCGGAAAAAAAAAACAAAAAAAGATTTTCAAGTTTCACAAAAAAAGACAAATTGACTGTAAGACCAAAAATAAATAGCAATCAATTGTCTGTAAAATAAGTCCCCGACGATTACTCTTTGTTGCAGAAAAAGTCTAATACATTTTCTGCAGGTTGTAGCTCGAAAACGAGTGTATATAGTGCCGCTTATTCTCACCCAAACAACTTTTTACTGAAAATCGATCAAAGAATCATCCCTGAAGTTATTTGCCACTTGATATGAAACACCCTATTGTTTTATTTATGCGAGTTATGTGTTATATAGTTTTATCGTTGTTTTTTCTCAACATCGTTGCAACATTGACTTTTATATATTACTTCCTTAAATACCTTTTATATATTACTTCCTTAATTTGATTGTTATAAACATATCAAAAACTGGGTTTCATCTTTTCGTACGAGGAGTTCAGCTCTATATTATGTGAATTATTCTGAAATATGAACAAAATTATAAATTTTTCTAATAATAAGTTGATTGTTTTGGACAGGGTTTCCTAAGCGTTCGGGAATTGCTGTCCAACTCCCTTCGAGATATCTCCAGCTTTACACTTTGGACGGAGATATTAGCGATGAGAACTTGGAAGTTATAATAAATAGCGAATAGTTGCGGTGGTCCGGGGGGATCCTCCCACGCTACTCGGTTACCTTAAAGTCTACAATCTAAAAGAGAATATACTACTTGAAAAATATTTAAATATTTCCTTATACACATACCATCGTTAATCATCTAATATCCTGTTTTGTTAGAATTCGTAGCAACTAGAATAAAGTTTATCGGAAACAATAGTTCTGAATGATTATACGTTAAATATGGTGCATTCTCAAATTTTTTACCCACTGAGAAGTAACCATCTTCAGTCCATTTTATCCAAAAACTACGGTATTTATTTTTACCCAATATGACGGGTGTAAGCTTGTCACATTTAATATGAGGTCATAATTTCTTTTCCTTGTTAACTCTAACAAATATTTCTAATTATTTCTTTTAATTGGAAAAACCATCTCAGAAAACATTTTTTGTATCATCTTATTTATTTTTGTGCTCTTTAGAACAAATGTTTGCCCTCTCTTTTAATCAAAGTATTAAATCAACATTTTTGCTAGTATACAAATTTTCACAACATTAAAATTTGTGAGATTTTGAAGTAATAATCAAATACTATACGGGTTTTTGGGTTCCTAATTATGTGCCCTTGCAAAACTCACTCTATATTTTTCAAAATTATTATTGGTCATTTACAGTGATTTACATTTAGTTTAAATGCTCTATATAAATTATTGTGATATTGGTGTTTTTTTAAATTGCATTCAATTATTGAAAATAAGTATTAAGTGCTAGCTCTATATTACTTTTGTTTGGAATTCTAATTCTAAAAATTGGTTATGGGATTCGCAAATAGACTCTAGAATTTAGCACAGAAAGGAAAATAGTGACTATTTTTTTTGTATCAATAAACAGCTATTATATTACACAAGTGACAGTCTGCTAAATTGATCTGTCAAGTCAAACCTTTATTCAAAATTATAATTTCGTCAATATTATATTCAAACCTATTTTTTACCCTCTCGCACAAATCTGAAATTTTAAGTTTTTTACTTAAAAATAACACACTTTTAAAAATTTTATTAGAATAACATTTGCTTGTATCTCCTCTTTTCTCAACGAATTATGACACTTCAATATTTTGCTAAATGTGTAATTTGTCGCTTACATATTTCACTAACGCTGTAAGTTCAATTGAACTTTCATAAAAGTAAGAATTTTACTGTAATCATTCTCTAACCGAAAAATCTATTTTTTTTTTCTTATAAGTGAACTAATTTAGTAAACTCTAAATTGGAATAAAATATTTTCTATATAAATTTTTAATATTTCACATTTCTGTAAAAACTTTTTCTCCTGCAATGTTAAAATGCAAAATACAATGTGATGTTTTTTTTTGATTAATATCAGAGATTAAACGCTCTCACATTTTAATAAGAAAGATATACTTGTCTCTAATATGCAATAAGCAAGGGAAGAGAACAACTACAAATGAATTAATTTCCAAAAAATTTTCTTCAAAACTAATAAAGTTAAACTATTGAAATGAAAAAGTCCAGTGAAAACCCACGATTTTATAATAATCTGATTAAACGAGTTACAACTTAAATAAAAACTTTTTTTAATTTGATTTTAACTATTCAATTTAAATGAATACAGAATTATTCAACGATGACTCCAACGATGATTACATATAGTTGACTTTTAAGTAAGTTTTATACAACTTTCTTCAAAGCAGTAGCATTATAGTATTGTAAAATTGAATAAGATTTTATCTATTTTCTTTTAACATAAAAAAAATTTATACGACCATCTCCTACGATTCAATTATAATTTTATACTTATAGAATAATTTATTTTTATGAATATGAATTAAAATTGTATTATAAATTTTGTATTAAACCTATAATTCAACTTTAAAATTTAGACATCTGAAATTTTGAAAACAAAATTTGGCTAATTTTCGTATTCGTTTTTAGCGACCGCAGAAGCGCGAAGTAAATTTCAATTTTTCATGAATAATTTGTGGTACTCTTTTTTTTATGTATAAAATATATGTATAATTTCTTTTATAGTTCAAAAATTTTAACTTCTTGCTATATATTATCTTGCTTATTTATACAATTTACAATACATGTCACTATCCTTTACATAGAGCTCACAAATATGGTTTAGATTCCGTGGTAACACAAATTTGCCATATTAATACCGCAGTAAAGCTTTAAAAGCACCTGCACTGTAGTCTCGATTTTTTCAATATACTCTGTTTAATAGTTAAAACCCATTTTGAGAAATGCGGATCTTGCTACATTGTATTCATTTTTATCATATAACATGAATCACGGATACAATGTAGTACTATTTTAATTCTGCATTTTGGATGTCAGGGATTTACTTGATACAATATGTATTTGGAGCATAATTCAATATAGCTCCACTACATCCCGTAACAATAAAATTTGTATAAGTGTTATATAAATATATTATAATGTGGTTTGTAAACTGTTATATGCATAAGGCGTACTAATTTTAATATATAATTATATATAATTTTATATACTATTCATTATTTATTTTATAGTTTCATTTAGTTCTTTAAAACTCATACTTACAAATTGCTATATGAATAGACGTAAGTATATATGCATATAAATCGGTATTTGAAAATTTTATTCGGGCTTTTAACGTATATTCAACTGATTCATGAAACAATCTCATGCTGAAAATAAAACTGATTTATATTATTGGTTATTGGAAAACAAAATTTCGTTCAATTATTAAATTTATTTAAGAAAGTAAGATCATTTTTCAATAAAAGGGCATTGTGGCTGACAGGTAAAATAAAATTAATTAATGCACATTTTGTATAAAGTCACGATAAGTAGAAGAATCTCCATGGTTTTGAAATTTTAAAATTTCTCCAAAAACTCTTTAGCCAACATATACACTGGTAAATCGTTAAAAGGTCGAAAAAATAAGGTAGAAAATTATGTCGGTATAAGCAGCATTATTTGTTCTGATGTCCAAGTTTTAGTAATTTTATACCTTGAATTAAAATAATAAAAAAACTTAGACTTTCGGTCACAAATATGTAGTAGAGGCCAAAATTCTATAAAAAAGTATGCAAAATTTTTTTACAATATTACGATAAGACGTTGACATTACTGAATACAAAAGCTACTGCCGCAAAATTTTATAGTACGTTGCCGTAAACTATACTTTGTAAACATACAGTACTTATGCGTTAATGAAGCCAGCCTCTTCTGTTCAGCTGTTTTATTGATACATTTCAGCTAAATTTAACCAAATTACGCCAAATTTTATCACTAATCTAAATTAAATAAAAACTTTTATAAAATTATTCTTATATCCGACTTTTTATATTTATTTATTTATATAATATAATTTTTGTTTGATTTTTTTTTTTTGTTCAAATTTTCCTTTTTTACAAAAGTACAATAAAATTACTTAACAATATCGAAATTACTTAAATAATTACATCATTTCTTGTTTTTTTTTTTATATTTTATTTTATATAAATTAAAAATTTTAATTATTATGAAAGCGTGAGAGAATTTTAGTTAATTTTTTTTTTAGTTTATTTTTTCTTTTTAATTTAAAATTTTGTGCTTTTAAAAGTAACAACTGCAACTCCTCTTTTAAATAAATTATAAAATCATTAGAAATTACAAAATGGTTTTCTATACATAACTAAAATTCGCTTTAATGGTTGATTTATGATTTATAGATTTTTGTTTTTTAATTAATTTTTTCCAATCGTTTGCTTTTTAATATTTTTGGTATTACAATTTTTAAAATTTAATAACAAAACAAAAAAGAAATAGAAAAAATAAAGTTTAATTTTTTATTGTTGCTAATGAAAATTCAAATTTTTCAATTTTTCTTTTTCCATTAATAATATAATTGAAAAATAATATAGAGAAAAAAAATTTACATTTTATTTAACTTTCATGCGCGAATTCTTAAATTTTATATTACGTACTTAAATAATTATAATATAATATTTTTTTTGTATTTAAATACGTAAATTTGGATTTGTGTACCGGACATATTTTAGGAGTGCATCATTCTCTTCACATACAAATGGTTTACGATGATGACATGCTACATCATGCCAATTAACACCATCATTATAAAATTGATTTAATAATGCTAAACAATTTTCTGGTGCACCATTTTGTTTAAATTCACGATTATCTGGTTGTGGTAAACCAATACCACCAGATGGTGACCAATCACCTTGTACACGATCAGTTGTCGGTGCTAATTTTTGTAATGTTGCTGTCCAAAACCATCCATTTATTGATGTTGGTTGTAAATCTGGACGTTCACATCCTTTGAAATCACATAAACGGCCGCTTGTCCAAATATATTTTTGCTATAAATATAAAAATATTAAAAAATTAAAAAGAAAATAAAAGTATTTTTAGTTTTATATTAATCAAAAGGAATCTACATAAGAAAGAATTTTGAGCTAATCAAGAAATATAATATTATAAATTTAATGTTCTCCTAACTTTATGCAATGCATATTCTAACTTTATAAATTAGAGTAGATGAATAGACAAGAAAGAACTAAGATCTGGTTATGATAAATCAATAAACGTAATTCGAAATAATTATTATTTCATATAATTTTTCTCTCTACTTGTGAAACAAGCCGTCAAACCTCAGTTTTTGATTAATATACTCTGACACACTTGCACACTGCTGTACCGAAATATATCTAAATTTAATTTGATAATCAATCGTCCATTCCAATTAAATGAGGCTATATGGCATCATAACAGTATAATTCTTCATAAAAGAGCCCACAACCTGCTTCACAGTCAGGAGTGAGCGTTATTGCGTTATGGTCTAAATATTTTGATTAAAATGTGTGAATTAAAAATATAAATAAGATTGACCCAGATGAAGTTTAGTTATAATAAAATGTCACTATTCGCATAGTTAACGCTGTTATCGGTTTATTGAAATAAAAGTTTTGTGGCATGTTTTAATTTTGAGAAATGCTGAATTGGCCTCTCGATTATTCTCGTATAGCGTTATACAAAAATTAATTGTGTATAATGCAATTAAATCTGAATCGCTGTATTTCCACTATAAATCATGCCTATATTATATTATTCTGAGTATCAATTTGTATACATTGCCGTAATAAGGTCTTTCTTTTCACAAAAAAAAAATTAATAATAAATGCATAACAGACACATGTGTATTTTACACTTATAGGCATGTTAAATGTCAATTTCCTATGCAATTTTTATATTCAATGTCATTTTTTATAACTTGTTAATTGCAATTAACTAAAATTTTATATAATAATGAGGATATTATGATGTTTACATATTATGCTTTGGCGTTTTAATAGTAGAAGGAACAAAACTATTACATGAGCAGATACATGTAATTATATTGTGTATTTTTCAAATTACAAAAATAGTTATCTTTTTTAACTTTCCGGTTATTATGGTTGTTTCGTTTACTTGTCTCAAGGCACATATTATTTAAAATTTGAACAATTCGTTTTGAGCACACAGTATGTAATTTTATCACTTGTTATTCTTTTCTGCAAATCGCGTGTATTTTCAAAAACAATAACATGTTTTCAATTTGTAATTTTTATTGAAATGAAGTTATTATTAACATTATAGAAATAGAAAATATGTAAAATTAATTGTTAAATAAAATAATTATAGTAAATATTTGAAATTTTCTTCAAGTAATATCAAATCCAAGTAGAAATAATTTATTAAATAATTGATTATATAGTGCTTGAATATCTTAGTTAATTAATTATTTTATGTAGGCTACATAAATGTACATTAAAACATATTACTGAAGATCTATTCATTAATAAATTAAGAAAATATTTTAAATTTGTTTAAGTTTATAACATGTTCATTTATGGTTTACTTGTTGGAATTCATTACAGAATTTTGCTAGTAATTTTGATAAAGTTATTTAACTTTTTTATTTTTCCTTTTTTATTCGTCGTTGGAGCACCAGACTATATGTTGCATGGCCTAATAGAGATTTTAATTAATTCAGTTCTCTATTGAACAAGTTTCTATATCAATTTAAGGATCAACTTTTATATGAATTTTTTTTTTTAAGAATCTGAGCCTTAAGCCTAAAGTTAGTCTGATATTAAATTTATATAGATGCTTCATGGGCTGTGTTAAACTTGAGTTGATATGTTTCTATATTATAAATCATATTTGCTTTTTATGTTTTTTCACCCCTGGATGCAGCAAAGAATTTATTGTATGACATAATAGAGTTTTGCTTCAGTTTCATTCCGCTCTTTTGGTATTTAAATAGGCGCATTAAACGAATGATAATCCTACAATACAATTGCTATATATGTATGTGAGTACGCATAATTCTTATCGAGCAAATACGCCAATATTTAAAATTTACGATTACAAATGTAATGTTATTGAGTTATTTTTGTGAGCTATTAAATATTTCGGATATATAGTAAGTATTCTTGTATTAATTTTATTTAGTCATATCTAATATATTAAATATCTATTATATTATAACATGCTTATAGATTTATTTTCTTAGTATTAATTTTTTAAGGTCTACAGTACTAAATACCATATTTTACAATAACCTGGTAAAAATTTTAACTTGAGACACTTCTATCAATAAACTTGAGTCATCTAAACTATGTAAGCATACTTAAGATTTGAGATAATAGTTATAGGATTTTAACAAAGTATGATGGTCTTTTATAGGCAAATAATTTAATTAACATTACAATTATTTTTATTAAATAAATTAATTAATTTTTAATTATCTATATTCAACCAATTATTATTCGGAATAATTTTAAGTCAATATATTTGATTACAGTTATTTTGATTTAACAGTTATTATTCAATTAAATTTACTTTTCTCTTTTTTTATTAAATAAAAATTTCATTATGCCAAAAAATAAAAATTCAATTTTTAAATTAAAAATATTTTCTTATTACCAGTTGTAAAAATTATAAATTACATCATATTCTGGTTAGAAAATAGTAGTTTTAATCAACATTGTCACATAATGAATTTTATTAGACTACATATACCATTACGTGCTATTTACATGAATCCTATAATAGTACTGTGTATATAATACATAAAGTTAATGTGTACAAATGATCTATTCAAATTAGAAATGAAAATTCCATTTAAAAAGAAAAAAAAACAAAAATATCAAATTTTAATTTATAATTATAATACATATATATATAATACGTATTATATATAATTATAATACAGCATTTTCAAGTTTGTTTTGATTTATATTAAATTTTATATATATAAGTAAATATAAAGTATATTGGCGATGCTAAAAATAATTTTCTCCAGAAACCTACTGATATACATGCAATCACATATACATGTATGAATTATAAGTATTATTAGAGTGGATTATGGAACTTGTTTAATTACAAAAATCAAAATTTTTAATCAAATTTTTTCTATTTTATACGCTTATTCCTGTTTCCATTTTACAACGTATTAATCTTATATATTTTAATTTTAATAGTTTAATATGAAAGATTATATTGTATAAGATTCATATTCGTAATGTATACCAGTTTTAAATTGCAAGTAAAGCAAAAAAGAAGAAAAAAATATAATTAAAATCTTAAATTAAATTATTAAACGAGTTCCGAAAAAATTTAACTAGAAATATTTTTAAAACCTATTTATGTAAATAAAATAAACAAGTTATTAGGAAACTATTAAAAATGTTAAAACGCCATTCTTAACATTCTTTGAGAAATTTTCTATCTTCAAGTTACTTTATTTCTGCTAATATTTCTATCACTAGTTATTTTCTAACTTTCACAATTATTATAAGAATTTCTCTATGCTAACTAGATTTAAATATAATTTACGAAATTCATAAAATATATTTAAAAAAATAACCATCTTGTTGACTCTACCACAAAACAATCCGAATATTTACTTTACGATGAATTGAATGAGAAAGTTTTTATTATAGCTTATAGAGCTATCTGACTAATTCTAAATTCTAAATTCTTAATTCAAGAATAAATTATTGCATGTTCAGAATTTTATAAAAAGTTTTTATATCCATAATATACATACATTATTGCAATTTCCTTCTTTAATTTTATTACCATATAGAATTGACCAAATTAACTAAATTGGACTGGATTATTAACCTGAACGTTATAAAATTTAAATTTAACATTGGAACATTGGTAAATTTAATTATGGTTATTATTTCAATTTAGTACTAAATCAACTTAAACATTTGTGGCTCACTGTGATAACAAATCTTAATTCATATTTAAATTTTCCATTTTTTTTTTAATTTTCTCTTATATAACAAAATTATTTCATATACTCTATATAAGATATGCACTATGAATTTTTTTCGAAAATCAAGGCTTAAATACAAAAATATTAAAAACTTTTTTTTTATTTTCGATTTTCTTATAAAATTCCATGTACACATCTTTTTTATTGTTATACAATCGATATTATCAAACGCGACAATAAATAACCTGAAGAAAAATAAAATAAAGTAGATTTGTATACTATATATATACAAGTATATATAATACTTAATTATATAAGAAATTTATAAGTTTATTTGTACTAGTTATAATTTGTATAACAATATGAATGATCATGTGACTAAAACCAACTAACATATTTTTATATTATTGTTTTCAATTACATAATATGTACGTATGTATACAGGAACACATGATAATCCAGAAACAAAATACAATATGAATTCACATACTTGCATCTCATATATATAGGACATATATCAGTTATTTAAAACCTAACTTTAACAAACAGGTATCAAAGTAGTACTAAAAATCTAAGATGTTTTTTTTTGATTAAATTTCAGTTTTCATGTCAAATTAAATTTGTATGCCGCACAATTACTATAACAAAAATATTAAAGTATAAGCAGTGACGGATTTTCAAAATTTGGATCCGAAATTTTTCTTAAATTTGGATTTTTCCGAATTGTGGCTCTTGCCTCAAAAATAACTTTTAAGAGATATTTCCAGTTTTTATCAATATTATTTTAAATTATGCAAATTGTTATAAATTTGGAAAATATCATTTACCAGTAACAATTGTGTTGAAAAAAACCATGTCAATATACTGTTATAATATAATAACAGATTTAGTTATAATTACCGTTAGAATTTAATAACAGTAATAACTAATATGTCCGAATATAGATTTTTTACATATATATCAACGTATAACTCTTACGAATTTTGATTTTTGTATAGCAAAACTTTTAAGAATTTTTGTATTTGTATTGTAGTTGTATAACAATAATATGAAAATTTTTTTAAAATTTTAAGAAAAAATAAATATTTGAAAATTTGATGATTTTAGGTAAGATTCTGCATCCTCTCATTGCATCACTGATTTTAAGTTACACTTTTGTCATCACATCAATATTTTATATTATGTGAACAAAATTTAATTAAAATTTTAGCAAAGAAGAAAAACTAAAATGCCCAAAACAATTGAATTCCTTTTTCTCTTAATTTTTGTTTTTTTTTTAGCTTATATGTGAAAACTTTACCTATTTTGATATTTTCCTCCATATTTTCTTAATATATGTATGTATAAAAATAAAAAATTTAGCGTACACGATTGCACAAAACGCTAATAAAGAAGAAAAACGTTTCACTTTCTCTTCTGCCAGCTTTTCAATATTTTTCAGTTCAAAAATAAAATATGTACTCGTATGTATGTATGTATATAGAAAAAGAAGAAGTCAATACGGGTGTCTTCTATAGATACATAAAATATTGATAGTTGAATGTACTTACTAACATTTTTATTACCTAAAATACGGAATAACAAAACTATATATTAAAGCATGTTATTTTATTTTTTTTTTTCGAAAACTTTCGTATTACGATAAAAATTTCTTTTTCCTTTATTCCATATGAATCGCTTTTCTAATATACTTTTTTAATAATGAAAAATTTAACAAAACTTACATATAATAATATAATAAAATTAATATACGAAAGAAAATGTATTGAAAATTATAAAGTTGAATTAAATTGTAAAGATCGGAACTAAAAATCAATTCAGGAATACTTAATATTTGGTATTAAAGAGCGTGAATTAAAAAACAGCGCGTATAACATTATTTTTCTTTTACCTCAAAGACCGAATACTTAATACTATAATTTTTGTGTATTATGAAAAGATTTTTAAAGTAAAAATGAAGATCATTAATTATAATACGGTCACGTAATTAATCTATTATATTACATACATATAAAGGTTTTCAATATTTCAATATTATAGCACAAATAATCATCAGACATGTGCATATAATAATGATGTATTGATAAATTTAGTGATTCATTCAATCATTTTTTAGTAATTATAATTTTTTTTTTCTATTTTCAAAATACAATGGAAAATGAAATAGTAATTTTCATCATAAATGAAGAAAGTAATGAAGTAATGAAATATTATAAAAGTTTTGAATTTTTATACCACACTTTATAACAATATAATATACAAATGCTTAATTTTCATTTACACTATGGCTACAATAAATTCATCAGTAAAAATTGACGGATAGGAAATCGGAACTAAAATATTATTAATTATTATACTCAGTGTTTCACAGTATGACTTCTAATTTTGCGTCTATACCTTCTTATTTATTTTCTAAATTATAATATGTACATATATTTTAAAATTGAATGGCGATTATCGAAATTTAAACAACAAAACTATTTTAGATGGGGCAAGATTGCAGGGCTCGAATTTATAGTTTTAAACAAAGAATTGATTTTAATTTTCTTCAACTAAATTCGTTTCTATGTGAACGTAATTTTACCCTTATACTAAAGTGTTATATCCCCCTTTTTTGATATTTTAATTTCGTTGTAAAGCATATTTGCTTTTCTTCTTCTTCCTAAAGAACATGTTCCTAAATGTGAGAACAAGTATATCATTAAGTGTTATTTATATACACACAAATTATTCGTAATTTCAAAATTGCAGTAAAAAAACATTACTTTACAACAAAATACAATAATCCGTTTTTTTACATTTTGGATCATATTTACTGTCGTAACATGAATATTGTTGTCATAAATGTCATTTTCGTGTATTCACAAAGCGGTGACTTTTTCAAATTGTTATCTTTTTGCTTTTCTTTGCGTACTAACTACTCGAATAGTGCATTTTGGAACAAACTGTATTGTACAATTTTTTTGTACTGCATTTCAAATCAGTAAAGTACTATGCAATTATACTTTTATACTGAATTTTGAAAATAATAATAAGTTAGTTATACGTGCTTGAAAAAAAAAAGATATTGAATACAAACACGATTTTAAGATGCTTTTGTCTTATTGAACAAAACTTTTATTGAAAGTTAAAATTAAACCAATATTATTCCTTTTATCCTTGAATAATGTTTGTATCATATTTTGAAAATGTTTATTAGCGATTCAATAGCGTTATTATTAAAAATTCTACTATAAGTAAATGTATATTATAGCATTTCACTTCCATAAGGAAATACTCGTACCTTAACAATTTATTTGTCATAAATTTATACAAAATTTTAATTAATGTAGCACTGATTATAAAATTAATAACAGCAATTATTTAATATTACGAGTACTAATTAAATAAATAAATGAGTGAGAGTAAAGAATTGTCAATGAAAAGACAACAATCAATGAAAATTAAATTTATTCTCTTGTTCTCAATTTTATGTCATGTTTTTTTACTGATTTTTTCTTCTGTTTACATAAGATAAGATGAGAAGTGTGACATTTAATGTCACAAAAAAAAATGTAATATTTCAGAATTAATGCAATATTATTGCTTCACACAACTTATTAATCATTTTAAATATGATAATTAAGTACATACACTAATTCCTCCATTTTCTTAATTTTTTTTAAACTATGTATATAAAATGCGCGTGAAATAACTTTATTATCTTATATGGATAATAAATAAATAATCTATAATTCATGCATAAATATTAATGTATTTGTATTGCATTATGCTAATATAATTTTAATATACATAAACTTTTCTTATATTTTTTGTCTATAGATTTAAAAAAAAACAAAATTATGTTTTGATTTATATTTAAAAATGATTAATTTATTTTAATCTCACATTTTGTAATATTTTATATACTTTATTAAGATTTAACAGTATAATTTTTTTTACAGCAGCAGTATATTACTTAATCATTTTAAAATTTAAAATATTACTGCTTAATTTCTATATTTTAACTACAAACACAGTGAAAACAATATGGCGACAAAGTCTCGAAGTCAGTATTTGATTTTAAAATTTTTAAATATATTTTGCTGAATACGTATAACTTGATTTTGAATATGAATTTTCTATAAAATAAATAATTATTAACAAAATCAACAATTTAAAATTAAATTAAGCTTTATGAAGGGTCCCGTGTAGGCGAATTGCAAATTCTATCGTATTTTCTATTTAAGGTTTCAGTATATCCCGTAATAGTTGTATGATAGCATCATAAAAAGCTATCAAAACTGGCCCATTAAATTAATGATAGCTAAATTGCTGATATTTTATTATCATATCATCGCAAATTCAACTCCATTGCATATATTAAAATTTAATAAAAATTAAAAATCATTATAAAACAGAAACTTTTCAACAAATCCAAATTAAATTGAATTTTAACAATAATATAAAGTGTCCATATATGATAATTTCAAATATAAATCAAATATTTCAATAAATAAAAGAAAACATGACAACATTATATATATTATTTATTATAAGTAAGTAAATAAATAATAAAAATAAAAAAACGCGACCGACATAATCGCATGTCTTAAAATTTTTTCAATATCTTTTACATTTGAATTTGTTATATGAAATCTTTCGATTATATTGCCGAATAATAATTTTATACAATTTTATTGAATATTTTATTCATTTTTATAATAATATAAATTATAATTATAATAGTTTTACAAATTTTATTTCACTTCTGAAAAACATTATAATAGCCATTAATATAATCAACAAAAGAGTTACCTTATAATTTACTACTGTTATAATATTACGAGTGGCTATTTAATTATTTCGTGTATTTCGCGTATTTTCCATGTTTTTAAAATATTTACTTTAAGCCTTCCCCATAATTTACCAGAGTTTTTTGAATTTTATATTTTTACCAAAATATTTATTTGAAATTTGAATTGATTTTATATTTTTTTTCCGATTACTTTTGAAATTTTAAATTAATAATAAAAAAATTATAAAAAAAAGCGATATATAAGAATTTTTTAGTAAACCAATTTTTAATATGTATTGTTATATGCATAAATTGGTCATGTAAACCAATTTTTAAAAAAACAGCTGAAATCATATTTAAGAAAAACTCATGTTCAAATCCTTTAAGTGTTTAAATTTGTTTGGCATTATGAATAATAAAATCGATTTGTTAAAATTTGAAGAGTTTCATATATTTCTTTGTAACTCAGCAATAAAATAAATAACATTCAAAATCTTAAGGCAAGAATTTTGCAAAATAATTTATGAGGCCATAAATAAATCATTTTTGAAAAAATTTTAAGACAAGAGGCCGACATATTTTATAAACCAACTATAATTTTAAATTTTCTCATAAAAAATTCTCTTATAAAATATTAAAATTCAACAGAACTTTCTTTCAACACAATAAAAACTGTTATGAAAATAATTTACAATTGTATATGGAAAAATAGATTCTTGGAAAGATCTACCCAATTTTATTAGATTTTTTAAAAATAAATATGAGAAATAACAGCAAAACTCTTTTACATTTTTAAGTTTTGAAAATGAGAAAAAAAGAATTTTCCAGACTTTTCTTTTTATTACACGTTAAGCTCCATAGACATCATATATGCATATAAATAAGTGTATGTAGTTATGGCATATACATACATACATACATACATATGTGTATAATTAATAAACAATATTACAACGAAAACCGCAAAATAAAAATTTCCTAATTGTTAAAAGAAATGAAATTATCACTAATTTTTTTTTCCTATTTTTCTTTTTTTGATTAATTTTTAAACAATATTTAATTTTATATATTTTAATAAATTGAAAACTTTAAACTAAAAATATATACAATTAATTTTTTTTATTGTACTTACATTTTCATTAACAAGACGTGCTTTTACCCATTCATTTTCGTTACTTGTCTCAAGTGAAACGGAATCCATACAACGTTTTCTACAGAAATTTCTAGCACCTAACCAATCTTCTTCAACACCACGTAATTGTGGATCCCTCCATGAGAAAAAATATCTGCGTAAAATGAAGAAAAAAAAATTAATTGGTAATTGTTTTTTTATTTAATAATTTCATTGTTAATTTCGAAAGTTATGTGTAACTTAAATGTAGTATATCGATGGCAACCAAGTGACATCACGTAAATCAAAATATTGAAATTTTACAGGAGAGCAAAAAAACTAATTTATTCCTTGGAAATATTATAATTTATAAATCTGTAATTATTTTTTTACTCAAAAAATGCACAAATATCTAAAAAAAAAAAAAATATTAAAAAAAAAAATTAAATTTGGAAGTTGTTGGATTTACGTGATGTCACAACAATTATTTTCAACAAATATATCAGATTTACGAGTTGTCACATAATGAAAATAAAAAAACTCTTAATAATTTGTTTTAGACTAATACGGTGTTAATCAAATTTTAAACAAAAACTTATTCAAATTTAACATATAAAATATTTAAAAAACATAAAAGAAACATAACTTCAATAAATTAAACAAAATAAAAATAAAAAAAAGTTATTTTTCATTGTGTGGTAAGTTGTCATAAAATTGATGATAGTCTTTTGGTATGACTTCTTTTAGATTTTGCAAATTAACCCATTTTTGATATTGAATTTTAAGGGGCCCCTTGTGAATCTGAAGGAAATTAGAAAGTTTTGCAGAGTTCAGCATATTTGAGTTACCTCGCTTTAAAGGAAGTGGGGTCCATTCACCATCAAATGTAGTTTTTATTTCAATTCCATTTGAATTATATTTAATTACTTTTATGTCATGTACGGCTAATTTTTTTTTTGGATTAAGGGAGGGGTATAAAGAACACCAAATCTTTATAATTTTTTACAAAATCATAGTCCAATCTTTTATTTTCATATGGGGGTTGGTTCCGTGCTTTTAAAGTTATTGAACAATAATCATGTGGGACATAAATATTTTTGTTTTTAAGTTTTTTCTCTATACACGCATGGACAGAGTCTACCTCCATTTGTGTGTGCCCTTTCTCTAGGAATTTTTGATATATAGTGACATGCTTTTCTTTAGCATACGTCAAAAGAGCGTTTGATAAAATTGCATTTTTATTTTGGTATCCACAGTTATCACTCCAAATAATTATTTCATTATTAACGCAGTCTTGACATTTTTCTAGCAAATAATCAATGACACATGATGCAAAAGTATTTGCAGAGAGATCAGCTTGGGTTTCATCAAACCAATAGCACTTTGTATTACATGAGTTCAAATCGTAGATGGTAAAATTGTAGCAACAGAGCTTTGTTTTATTAAATAGTGCAGATGCGTTCATCATAGGACAGACTTTTAGGGATTGTAAGAAAATCCCAAATTAACTTCTTCAGCTTGTCTTTTAAAACTAGTTACGGACAAAGGCTGTAAATTATAATATTCATCAAGTTCGCAAATTTTCTTGTATTCATTATATAAACTATTAAAAGTATTTGAAAATGTTGGTTCGACATATAGTTTTTTAGAATATTTTCTGCAATAATGGGATGGTAATTTAGGAATTTTGTGAAAAAAATTCTGCAAATATTCAGTTTCTATAGTTTTTAAGTGTCTGTTGATTCTAAGATAATTACTATTATTATTATTATTATTATTATTACTAGTAGTAGGTGAACTATTTGCACTTTTAGCCCATTTTCGAACTTGATATTCCCCTAGGGAAAAAGTCGACAAAAACATTTTTTTACAGACCAGATAGGTTTATCATTTTTTATTTTAATAGTATAAGTGTAACAAGAATTACGTTTTGGTGCTATGTCAGATCATTTTCTGGTTTTAACAGGTATCTCTGAAATTAGAGTGGATATATTTCCTTCAAAATATAATTTCCTTCAAAATATAATCTAAACTCATTTTGCCTTGTAGTAGCTTACTATTTATTTTATCTATAAAAAATTTTCTTTTCAAAATAATTTTTAACTAACAAAATTTTCAGGTATTACCTTATTTTTTTAATCAACTAGTAAAAATTACTTAACTAATAGAAATAGAAATTATCATTGTGACAATTCGTATATTCGGGGAAAAACTATTTTTGTGTTTACTTTAAACCAAGTGACATTAAGTAAATTATTTTACGTGTTGTCACTATTGTATTTTAATACATCTATTATATACGAGATGTCACTATTATCATTTTTAAGCATAAATTTAGCAAAATATGATAATTTTTGAACGTAGAACTATGTAATAGGTAATTTTTTATCTAAATACTCAAAAAAAAAAAAAAGTGATTTTTTCGATTTACGTGGTGTCACTTGGTTGCCATCGATATTAATGTATAATTATTTTGATAATGTGTGATTAAAATATAATTTTTTTTAATGTTTTTTAGATAAAAAAAAATAATTCCTGTGATTTAATAATACACTGTGCGTTTTAATTTGAGTTAAAAATTATACAGTAGGTATGATTATACCTTTTAAGTCAAAATTAATATAGTCTAAATATAGAAATGTATACAGTTGGTATGTCTAAAGAAAGTTGACACAATATTTTTTTCCAAATTTTAGGGCTTATTATTTAAAGCTACAGACATAAATTTAATAATCATACCGAATTATTAATTGATTTCACTAAAAATTAAACAAACACTAAAATTTTTATGGAGCATAAACTAAAACTTTTACTTTTAGTTCTTTTTTTAAAAAGTAAGAGCTTAGAAAATTTGTTTGGAAATTTTTAACGATTTTTCTTAAAATCTAAAAATTTGGTCTTCATATGTATTGTTTTCAAATATCGTTATATAATACCGTTTAAGTGCAATTAATATTATTTTTATAAAAAACGCAGTTGTACCAAAATTTAGTTGTTCAAAGAATTCAGTATCCTGACTCAAGTATTCAGTAATACAGTTACATGTAACGCCTTAGGATATGAAATATTTATTTAAATTATTTTCGTTACATTTTGTCTAATTTTGTCTGAAAACTATGAACTAAATGACTGATTTTTTAACCAAGAATAAAATTTTTTGGATAAAATTCAAAATTTCCTAATTTTAAGAAAAGTTGTTCAAAACTCCCTTACAAATTTTTTATATCCCGTACAGTTAGTTATTTTAGACCAATATGTAAAGCTTAATAACTGTTTTTGTTTTACAAATATTTATTAATTTTAAATTTAAATAAAATGAAAACTAAATACGTCCTTAATAAGCTGTGAGGGTAAGTGTGATTATTTTGTGTGATACAATGACTGTATATTATTACGGTATTTCATACAAAATTTAATCGCAATAACAAATACAAATGGTTTTAAACTATTTTATTGAAAATTCTATAATTAAATTGTTAAGTATATCGCATTAATAATTGCATTATAATTTCATTACAAAAGGCTATTATTTATAACATTCTTATAACTTTATATAGAGTTTTCTAAAACATCTGCATTCTCTCTCTAAGAATAAATTAAAAAATTTTCAGAAGCTCAAGATTGCTTTAACATTTTTCATGTATTCCCTACATTAAATGTGTTCATTTTAAATTTTTCGTGATGAAAAATTTTTAAAAGTTCATTCAACTTATGAAAAACTTTATCGACATTTTTATCGGCAAAAAAGTTCTATTCCATTAACCAAAAAGTTAACCAAAGCGTTAATTGTACAAACAAATTAAATAAAATTTTGATTTAAAAAATAATTGATCTAATACGAGTGAATCGAAATTTAATTTTTCTCACATTATCTAATCTCATATAAGCTAAGCGGGACATAAAAATATTCAAAATCTCCATTTTTCAATTCATAATCGAACTAAATTTCTTTCGCTTTATATTATTTAAGTGTGATCAAATTAAAACTGAGAAAATGCTTTTAAAAAAATTATTTTTTTTTGCAAACCATATGCAATGTTTTCGAAAATCTTCTTAAGTTTGAAAAATTTCTAATGGTAAAACTTTCTATATCAAGCAAAACAAAAAAAATTGGGTTTAAAACTTAAATTTTTCCAGAAACCAGTTAAAAAACTAAATTTGGCTTCGAAAATTTTATCTTACTGTCATTAATTTTACTCTATATAAAATTTTCTTAAACATTATTCATTAAATTTAGAGTCTATTCATTAAATTCACGATATCTTTTACTGAATGCTACAACTTCAGATTTTTTTTATATTTGTTAGAAACTACATTTAATTTAAAACCAAAAAAAAATGATAGCTCTTTAGAAATTTTCTATAAATTCTCAAAAACCTAATGGAAATTTTTTCTACATCATCTGTTACAAGATACATAATTGTACATAAAATTAAAATTTCTCCCAAAAGATATCAATTCTAACACAATATTATTAACGCTTAAAAGATTCAAAAAATTATTAAAAAAAATGTGTTCTCGCAAATAATTTTTCTTTTGTCCCAAATATTTTATTTTTCAACTAAACTCTAATGGATTTTAAATTATTCAAAAAATACATAAATATTAATATTTTTTTTACCCTTTTCCATCTGGAGTTCTTTCATGAACAATTCTTTGTGCACATAATTGTGGTACTGGTGGTTCCAAAAATCTTCCATTTGGAAATTGTGCCACACAAATACTTAAAATTCCAAAAAAGCAAACACTTCCAAATACAAATGAACGCATTTTCTTTTTCTTTCTATTTGTTTGGTTTTATTTTAAATTCAATTTCCTATATTTATTTATTTATTTACTCTATAATAATTATAGTATTATATTTTTACTTGTTTGCTATTTTTGATTCGCTTAATTTAAATTCTAATTTCAAATTTTAAAGTCAATTCAAAAAACAACTGAATATAAGTAGTGAATATTATTGTAAAATATTGTCAATAGAAAGCACTAAATCAGGTTTTTATTTTGGGTATAGGTACACCACTTATTTTTTATTAAAATTTCACTTCGTTTATTTATAAGTATAATTATATTTGTATATGTATATCCAATTGTATTTATTTTTCTTTATCACAAATTTCAAATTCTATAGAATTTTGTTCTTTTTTTTTTTGGTATTTTTCTTTTATTATTCACGATCACGTTTCTCCACTCACAACTATATTTAATCTTTGTATATGGATGGGAGATCTTTACCGTTCTATTCAATTCGATTAAATTTTAAAGACTGTCAAAAAATTTGACGCTACCCTCGCTTTATATATTTAGCCTACCATTTCTACCATTTCTACTTTAATCTTAAGCTATAGTCACTATTTATATTAACTGTTATATACACTATTGCTTCTTCTTCTTTTTGTTTTTTTTTTTCAATATGTTTTTCTTTTTCTGTTTTATTTTTTTCCGTTTTGTTGCAAGCCCCGTTTAAAATGTTATCGTCTTCTTTTTATTTCTTCTTTAACTGGTTGCTTTACTACAGTACTGCTATTTAAAAGTTACAAGTCAAATACAAAAATAATTTTTTTTTCATTTTCATTATTGTTGTTATCATTATTTCCTAAAAAAATTATCAAATATAATTTTTTATATTGCACAGTTGAAAAATAAAATATTATTAGGCTAAAGAGAAGTTACAAAAAATAAAAAAGAAAAATTTGTAATAAGTTTAGAAAAAGAATTGAATTGAAACCACGATCAAGTATAAATTAAGAAAGGAAAACAATTTATTGGATATTGTACTTAATATAGGAAAACTACTTACCTATTATGACTAATATATAAGTGTATTGGTATATGTATGTTTAAAATACCTAAATAACCTAATAACATTTTTACCTAAAAAAATTTTAAGCTGATGATGAGATACCGTTGTATATAAAATTTAAATACGACGGTGATTCTTAGGAAAAAGTGAAATCTGTACTCGCTTTAAGACAAATTGTTATACGATAAGTAATTTTTTTTACTACGAAAAGAAACAGTTTTATGAAGGAAAAAGTTGGAAAGTAATTGAAACTGCCTTAAGTAATATGTTCACGCAGCTGCTTTATACTTTTATTTAATATAAAAATTTAAAGAAATAATTAAGTTTGTTTATTCAAATTTAAAAAACCGTCAGATTGACCATCTTTTTGCCCCTTAAAAATAACCAAAATTTCAATTCTCGGCTTCTTATTTTCCCGAAACTATGAGCAGTTCTAAATTTCATTAAAAGCAAAAAACTAAAGATATCTTGCCATCAAAAAAATAGAATTATTTGTTCTAATTCGCCCACTTAAACAACGTCAACTTCTGCTATTATGTTAACACTTCTTATAACTTTTGCTCTTATCCTAAAATTATGCAAGGATTATTTTTAGCATATAATAATTTTTATATTATTTTTAGCATTTTTCCAAAAAAATTTTGAAAAAAGTGCTTATTAGTTGCATCCTGCCCGTCCGAATGCCCGCGTATCTGTTTACAAAACTTTTAGAAATTTATTTTCACAGAAGTAAATTTTTATCTATCCCCCTCCTCTAAAAGTTATAGCCTTAAAGACTTAAAAATGTTATTTTGTGACTACTTATTTAAAGGAAACCCTAAACATGTTTGGCATAAACCGCGACATAGCATAATTAAATATTAGAAAAACAAAATGGCTGCTAAAATTAACTATTATCTTAAGCCGGTTTTTTTGAGTTTTCGATATTATTTTCCTCTTAACAGTACGTTTTAGAAGTCTGAAATTTAAGAAGCTTTTAGACATTTAGATTTTTCTACCTACAACCCTTCTCAAATTATCGCTTCTTGAAATTTGGAAAAATTTGAATTTTTGACACCTTATATTTCCGAAAACTGCAAGCCTTTCCAATTATGAAAGCAATTTTAATAATGTAGTGCATAGCTAGACTGTTTTAAAAGCAGTATTTTCACTTGGTCAAGAAAAGAATGCTACATCAAAAACCATTGCTTTGACCCAACTTTATTTAATGAAAATTCCAGTAGAAAATTACTTGCTACCAAAAAGTATTTTCACTTTTACAAGAGAAATCTGGTGTTTACATTGATTTGATCTGAATTTATTTCACTTACATTTAAAAAAGGGTATATTTTTTTTAGAATCACCCATGATATTCAAGTACATTATTTTATCTTAACATTTTGCTATACTCAAACAATTATAAAGGTATGTTGTACGTAATTGCTTTGCAAGTACCTCTATAATATTATTTTATTAGAGAATACCATCCATATATTTAATAAATTGCTGAACCCATATATGTATGTATATTAATGGTATATAAATTATATACGTATGTAAAACTTCTTTTGTATGATAAAGAAAAATGAATAAACACAAGAAGTATGCAAAAAAATAATTTCGTTTTTCGATTTTGTTTCTTTATTATTGAACAACGATATAAGAGCAAATAGATCAGTTATTTACCGTCATATGTTTAGGAATTTCATTTTCAACTATATAGAAATCAAAAAATTAGGACAAAAATTTTATAAAAAATAAATTAATGAACATTAAAAATAAATGTTTGATAGGTGTTTGAGGAATAAGGTAAATAAAATTAAAATAAAATATGGCAAATAAATAAAAAGTGGGCGCTTAATTTGAATTGAGATATCAATCTTCCGATAAATCGAAAATACATATATTGAATTGTTTTATGACATATGGGTGTAAAAATTATTTGCAATGTAATATTTTTCTGGAAAATAACTATTTTTCTTTTGAGGCTTTGACATGATGATACTCACTTTTATAATAAAATTTTAATTGATGGTTAATTAATCAAAATTAATGTTTGGTAATGCTGCAATTATTTCGTAGAATAGTTTTATGGTTTAGACACGTTAGCACACTATTTCATAAAATCATTGGAATTTAAGAACATGTTAAGGGACTGAAATGTTCGGGGAAATTTAAAAAGATAAATATATATATTTACTAAGTATATGACAATCAGCTATGATCACAAATTTTAATTATTTAGAACGGCAAATCACGGTTTTAGGCAATTTATAGGCAGTTTTATGAATTTATAGAGTTAATCATCATTAAATTTTAATAAGATTAAAAACAAATTTTATTTCTTATTGTAAAAGTTTTTGAAAAATAGACGTAACATTAGCCAATCTTTTTAAATTTTACCAACAAATTATATAACAAATTTTTGCGAAAAAATTTTCTTTGAAAAAATTTAAATAATTTTCAAAAATTTATATATGACACATACTTTCATACAATAAAAACGTATAAATACATTTTTATGAAAATTTTTTCAACTTAATAAAAAATTAAAATGCAAACAAATAATAAGAAACGGATATTTACTTACTATGCGTCTCACTTTCAATTTCTTAATAAAATAAAATTGCACTTATTTTTATTTATTTTGCAAAAAAAATAAATAAAATAAAATTACACTTTATAGCACCTATGCTAATTTAATATTATAAAAATTATTTATAAAAATCTAAATTACTTAATAAATATACACCACATACATATACATATAGTAAGGCACATATGAACCAAAAATCAATTTCAAATGTGTATAAAATTTTATTTAATCAAGAAAACACAATTCCATAGGGTATTATCTACATAGGGTATTAGGTACCATTTGTATGTAAATATTTATATTTCTAATATAAAAGTGTAATAAAATAAGAGTGTCTTGCAAAAATATTTTAAAATTTTGAAAACGTTCAAAATACACACAGTATAATTTCCATGACTCATTTGAATATAATATATTGCTTTGGAAGCTTGTACTTACTTGAATTAAGTAATTTGATTGATAGCACATGCATATGAAATCATATGAATTTTGGATCATTGCCTTTTATATACAATGTTAGCAAAATATTTTAAAAAACTCATTCACATTTTATTTGAAATTCTAATTAAATTAATTGCAGATGATGGCCAAAATCAATATAAAACATAAACTAATGATTTTTGCCATTGTTAATCGTTACTATTAAATTTATTAAGTAATGATTAGATTCCCTAGCTATGCAGTATTATTTTGTATACATGCAAGCACATATATTTCAACCAATCCGATCTAAACTACATGATTATATATTCGTTCGCTCTCAACATTCTTAAATTCGGCAAATTAAATAATCGTAAATCTATTAGATTGATAAATTAGTTTTTAATAAAATAAAAAAATGTTTTGTTCTAAGAAAATTACACGCACAATTACAAATTACAAGAATTACAAAGAATGTAATTCTGAAATTACACACATAGTTTGTACAATATCGAATTTGGGAGTGCGTTATTTTGCTGCAAATTTCCCACAGTTTATAAGTGACAAATTTTTGCATTGTAAAATCCTCTAATTAATTTTTGATTCTCTTCATGTGTTTTATTTAAAAGTTTGGTTAAAAATTGAATAATATCTAATACTAAGATATTTGAATTCTATTTTTGTATTACTATTGAATTTATTATAATCGATTAAAAATTTGAAATCGTAATTAAATTTATTATTTTCAATATGTTATTAATCAAACTTAATAAATCAATAAATATGGAGAATTTCTAATGCACCTTTTTTGCTATATGAACTTTAGCACTATGCCGTATACGAATAATACGCAATATTTGATTTTCAAATAATAGTGAATCTTATATCGTTAACTCAAATACATAGTTCTATTATTTTGTACAATTTTTATAGAAAAAGAAATATAAACTATACAGCTATGTAGTTATAATTGAAAATCAAGGAACTAATTACTGATTTCTTGACCAGTTATTCCGCAAGAGAAATTTATTTGCATTTTAAATTTTTAATTCCGAAAAGCCA